TGCTCAACGGTTTTTTCTCTTTTAATTTTTTAATAGAAAAACTACTCAAACCGCGGCAACTCCCAATGTGAAATATCAATCGATTGGCTAATCCCAATCAATAATGATTTTGTGTCAAGAAATGGTTTATTAGCGATTCCTATAGTTTCCACACAAAAACTGAACGACAACAATAACAAGTTCGCGTTTAGGTTGAGAAGCAGCAACAGGCACCGAAAGTTTCTTAGAATTTAGAAGCCATGAGTATTTTTTTTTCGAACAAAGGCGTTGAGCAAAAATTCTCAACGGTTTTTTTTTCTACTAAATTTTTGATAGAATTGCATGTTTGTTGTATTAATTTTTATAATTATAGCATTTTTGAGCACCAAGGGAAACAAAAAAATTAGAGAAAAATTGCAATAAAAATCCGTAATAAATTACTAACAAATGTGGGTATTTTATGATTCGAGGTGATCTATTGCAGTTTTCAAATATGAATCCATTTTCTATCGATAAACAGTAGGAATGAGGCATAGGAAGCAGTACTCTAAGGAACCCAATCACTTTTTTCACTTACCTTGAAATTTTTCAATATATTTCTCCATATCCCATTTTTGGAATAAGGTTGAGATCGAAGAACTTGCCATTTCGGCAGCAGGCACGAACCAGCAACACGTGTAAACTAATGAAAACGTAATTAATTCGTAAAACTCAGTTGAGCGTCAATATTCCTCCGCGAAATTGTAAGTCGTAAAATGTCCAACCGTATCACTCGACGTCTGAGAAGAAACTCTCGCACAATGCACGATCGTAACGTTCGTACACTTTCGGTTGGATTCCTCAAATATGACAGAGTTTTGGCATTGGATTTGGTGATCAGTTGTGTTGATGACCCAAGTTTTTGTGCTGAACTTCGAAGTTACTGAACGCAAAACCATTGTTTAGCGGAGGGCCCGTTGACTAGCTTCTCTTTGGCATGCGGGAATCGAGGTGGCTTTGGAAAATATCTCACTTTGAACGGAATAAGTCTACGTTTGACTCAAGAAAATGATATTTTTTCATATTTATGGAAACGTGATTTTGACGATCGGAATAAATCGTCTCAGTCGTTTCTCAGCAGTGGACACAGTCAGTCGATTTATCACTCAGGAGGACTAGAAGAATTGGACGGTAAGTTATAAATTCGCTGCGGAAAAAGTCGCTTTATGTTTTCTCCTAAAACTCCTCATTTCCCAGATAATAACCTCATTACCCCCTCATCAATAGATATTCCGCTTTCAATACCCATTGTTTTCAACCATCGAGCTATCTCCCAAACGAGTCACGCGACTCAAAAATCCCTGTATCCCTCTTTTCTTTTGAAGAGCAATTCTCACGATAAAATAGAAATATTCGTCGAAGTAAATGCATTTATTCAGACAGGATTTTTTGGAGCTACGATTAACTAATTTTGAGCTGAGAAACGAATTAGTTCTGCAAACATGAACGTTCTTGAGGGAAAAATTTCTGGTGTTCACCCAATAATTTCTCTTCCTAGTAATCATGGCTCTGGTGGCAGCATTTGATAAGCAACTTCTACTACTTGTCGCTGAATATGAGATGATTTGGAGGAAAGATGATTCCCCTGACTCTTCCATTTGGGTGGACGCTGCATTTAAGCAAATAGTAATGCTCTTGAGTCTGGAATTTCCCGGTCACTTCCCAGGTAGAAAAATTTTACGCAGTAATGCATTATTTGATATACGAAATTGTTTCTTTAAGTTCAATTTTGATTTGTTCTTGCAGATGAATATTTTTTTCTATCATACGTGAAACGAAGATGGCAGATATTGAGGAGGTGGTGGTTTCAGCATCATCGAGAGTATACACACACTTCAAACACCTGCCCGTCAGCACGTGCCTCGGAGCGTTGCAATGCCATGGCATTTCTCGTACAGTCAAGCAATAATTAATGGATTTAATGAGACCATAAGCAGATTGTATCGGACTCTACTGAGTCAAGCTGTATCTCAGCGAAAATGCATGGAATGAATACAAACTTGATTCTTCAACCCCATTGAGTCATTTATTACAAAATATTTAAAAACAATAGATGTCATCAAAAATGAACAACTTTAATTTCAACAGTCCCATGTCCTTGACTCCCTTCTGGTCACAAGAGAAATTTAAGCACCACAATTTTTATTAACAATCCATTTCTGCTTTTTCAACTACAAATCGCAAACTATATTCGATCTACGTCCCGAAAATACTGGACATGAGACAATTTTCTAGTGGTTTCGATATCCTAGACTAATTTTTGTGAACCTGCGATGGTTTTTCCTGCGGAACAATTGTCCTGTTCTGTGCAGAATCAATCTCCTCTTAGAGAAGAGATTCTTTCTACGGAGAATGATAAATTTCCGAATATATCACATTCTTGAACAGAATGAATTTTCAATGGATAAACCTCAAGTCCATTTTATAAGGAATATTGGAGTGATTCTCTCAAGAAATAGAAAAGTCTAACGTAGTGGTGTACTCCAGAGATATGATAAGAATTTTTGAACATTCAATGTTTCACAACAAAAATCAAATTGATTGAACGAAACTTTTAATTGATATCTCCATACAACTCGCATTTTTAATGGTAGATATAGACTCTTGATTTTGACTAGCGGAACAATGATTCGTACTTCACGAAAAATTTTAGGCCCGTGAAACTTCGAGTTTATCTCAAAATAATAGAATTTTCGTACTATGAGCGTCTGATCGCACACATTACCATGAATAGAATACCGATTCATTTAGAGCGAACATGGGATATTCTTTTACCAAACCACATTTCGATATGATTGCAACTCTATCTGAATTCTGGTTGCAAAACTGTTTTGTTTCCTGCCAACTCGAATTCATAAGTCTTCTGAACTCACATGTATTCAACACAAATTTCTTTGACACCAAATTTCTACAAAATACTAAGTAATTTTGGCCAAACACAGGATTTTATGTCAATCTAATAACTACTTGAATTGATCGTTTCTGTACTTGAGAGTAATAAGTGCCCCATTATTGTTATCCGAAATTCTTCTAAGCTCATATGAACTTGATATATCTGGAGTTTTGTATGGTCCAAAATGCGTAGTTCTGGTGCCAAGAAAATCCGACGGCAAGAAACTTCCGGATTGACGCAATTGGATAGTTTTGCCTAGAAATTTTTTTTTTCGCTCAGTGTCTGTGAATTTACCAATTGATGCCTGCAAATTTATTTCAAAATGCTCCCTCTTTCCTGTGTCTTTATCTCGTAAGCACTTGGTAGTTGGGATTTGTTTGACGTTTAAACAATCCAGACACTTGATAAATAAATATGAGCCCAGGCCTCTTTTTCGTTCTCTCACTATGTTTTTCAGAGACAGCGTTTTCTCATAATATGTGCACTCAAGATGGTCACCGAGGAGATTTAAGTCAATAATCCGATTGCCTGTCACAGGCTGTTCAGGTGCGGATTCTTCCGTAGACGTTGTTCGGTCCTTACTCTGTTTTATGGTGTCGGAAGCCATCTCAGACTCTTCATCGGCAGGTTCAGTAAAATCGAGGGGAAGTTGGATGCTGTGAGATGGGATTTCGATAAGGCCGGGTTCACTGCCAATAATCTGAGGAGTTTTCTTTTGTACAGTCGCGTTGTCTGTTGAGTCGAGTGTAGTTTGGATGCTTCTAATGGTGGTTCTAATGCCTTCAGGCGTGTCCATATCTGCATGCTCAATTTTTCGTCGTTTACTTGGATTTCCGATCTCAACCCGCCGACCCCTGTTACGTCTCCCAGCTGCCTGCTGTTTTAATCTCATTTCGAGAACCTTCTTTTTTACCAATCGGTTTTTTAGTCGTAGTTGTGGAACTTTACTGGAATCTGTATCCACCGTATTTTTTTCCTTAGCTCCTTATTTGAAAAAACACACGCACAAAATTATAAACACTGAGATAACCTCTTCAACGCTAGCGAGTTTTCACACATGTCGTGGGACGATTTTACCGCCAGAGACGGTACCAATTGTTGGAGAATCGATGCGCTGTTGCCAAGTCGCGCCCGCAAAAACGTACCAAATTATTTATTTTTCTGATTAGTTTTCGCGCATAAAAATATTGATTGGCTAATAAGAAATACAAAAGGTATTTAAGAATAACAAAAGCGCTCATTTTAGATCAAAGCAGTCTATTTTCCTACAGTTCATTTTTTATTTACTAGCAGTTGGAACCCTGAGTCGGCTTCTTTGATTTTCATCCCCACTCCGGTTCCCAAAAATATACTGATGACCCTCCTTAACACGTGCTTGAATCGAGTTTCACCGATAACAATTTTAAAAAAATCAACGGTTTCACGGAGAGGACGGAACACAGAAAAAAAATCGATGGACCATTCGGGAGCTTGCAATCAATTTATTGATGGCAGAGAAAATATACCCGTAAATTTCAATAACTCATCTACAGTCATATAATTTCTCTCGCCTGCTTGTTTGAATATGCATTTAATTTCATCGTGCAATTTTATTGGCTGAAACTAGAACGAAAAAAATTATTCCTCGAGTACCGTTCGAGCTTCGAAATTAATCGGATACTTTCCTCTACGCTATTAAATATGTGTGTAAATTTCAAACACTTTTTGCTTCCGAATGGAAGCATTGCAATCGTCCGATCCCGACCGGAAAAAAAAAATTCTAATTTTGCTTGGAAACGATGTAGAATGGTCTGAAATGTAAAAATACAAAAGTTTTTGAGAATGTCTGTGCGTGGTGCCCCCTGGCCAGGGGTGATTTTTTAGTTAAAAAAAGATAAAGGTGGGTAAAAAAATTCCAAAAAATTTGAAATTTTGTCAAATAGTAGGTAAGAGTTGAGGCTAAATATGGAATGAAAATTCTGCTAGATCGGTCAAGCCGTTTTTGAGAAATCGTGATTTGTTTATAAATCGTTTTTTCGAAATATCTCCAAAACTAATGAAGGTATTCAGTTTTTTTTATTTCATTCTCTTCGCCATGATTGGCTCTATTGGAATCAATCAAAAATTTGAAAATGAACTCTGGAAAAAATCATAGTTATTGTCACTTTTATGTTTTTGAAAAAAAAAAATGTACGCACTCTCACCCCCGTCCTTTTATCACTGCAACGGATGGTATTGGAAATGAGTAGGATTGACTGATTAGTTCCGGAGATATTCAATTTTTAGTGTAAAATGATTATGTGGAATATCTCAAAATTGACTTGACCAAATTCATTTTTTTTTATATGAAAATTTTTGTCTCGATGTCCCCTGTCATTATCAATCAAAATATATAGAGTCGCCCATACAAACTTTTCGAGATATTTAGATTTCTTCGTTTTTCAGTTCAAATTGTTGTACGCATTCTCACCCTCGTAAAAATTGAGCTATTAACTTCAAATTTGGACGAGATTGTCCTTTTATCGCTGCAACAGATGGTATTGAAAATGAGCATGATTGACTGATTAGTTCCGGAGATATTCAATTTTTAGTGTAAAATGATTATGTGGAATATCTCAAAATTGACTTAACCGAATTCATTTTTTTTATGTGAAAATTTTTATCTCGATGTCCCCTGTCATTGTCAATTAAAATATATATAGTTGCCCATACAAACTTTTTGAGATATTTAGATTTTTTCATTTTTCAGTTCAAATTGTTGTACGCATTTTTTTTAATTTCATTTTTTTCGTCATGCTTGGCACTATTGACATTAATTAAAAACTGGAAAATGCATCCTGTAAGTAATCATAGTTATATGACACTTTTATGTTATTGAACAAAAAAATTTTGTTCGCTCTTTCATCCGCACAAAAATCAAGCTATTAAGACTGCCAATTTCGACGAAATCGTCCGTTTATCCCTACAATGGATAGTATGAAAAATGAGCTTAATTGAACAATTGGTTTTATAGATATTCAAATTTTAGTGTAAAATGATTATATAGCTCAGAATATCAGGATCGAATTCGTTTTTTAAATTTGAAAATTTTAGTCTAATAGATGCTCAATTGCTACGACCATTTAACATTCATAATAGATCCAACCTGACGAGGAAAAATATATTGTTAAAATCATGCGGAAGCCCGCCATCAATTTATTGATGGCAAAAAAATATACCTATACATTTCGCTAAATCCTCCACAATGACATAATTGTTGTCGCCTACTTGTTTATTATATGGGCATTTCAAAATTCAAATACTCGGCAATACGTTTGCTATAACTTCTCTTTTAATGTCATTTTTCAACATATAAACGAAAATCATAATATGGTATAGCATCAATGCAGTACTGTAATACAAGAAAAGAATACCCCTACTGACTTTTTTCGATGTATTCAAATGTTCCAGTAAAAGTATTGGCATTTGCAATATAAATTGAAGAATTCAAGTACAACTGTATTGCAAAACTATTACACAATATGTGATGAAATTATGATATACTCGAGCTTCATACGTATTGAATTTGTTCAATACATGAACACGATTTACAGCACGAGTGTAATGCTTATCATGAAAGCAGAGATGCGTAAATGAAGTTCGCCTGAGTCGAAACTCGTAAGACTAATTCCCTATTGGTCAACGCGAATCCGAAGTCGAAATTCGAATTCGGCGCACGGAGTGCGTAGTAGATCTCGTATAATATAATAATGGAATTTATTACCTCGCAACATGTTTGTTTATGAGAATTTCTTCTGTAATATCTCTTTCAGTATTATTATTTTGATAATAATATTTTCGGAACGAGGAGAATAATTTTCGAATATTCGAGACTTTGGGCTTGTCAATCGGAACCAAGTTATAAATAATATTACAAATGCTCAAGAAAAACAAATCTCTGCAGCCCCGGGAAAATGATTATAACGTTCAGAGGAAATTTCGACAAACGATTTTTTTTTTATCAGTGGAAAATTCTCGGATAAAGAAATTCCCCATTTTCTG